GTTAGATTGATGTTTATTATGTAAATAAAATTTTGATAGCCTCTGTGTCAAAACTTTTTGAACCGCCCACGTATTTATCGGAATCTGTGGATGTGGAAATTATGGATGCTCTTTAGAGATACTTGAAATACTAAACGATATCAAAATGAATTTCAGATCAGATTATCTATAGCCTTTTTATATAACTGTTCTTATTACATACGCGTTATATATATCAAGTCTTTAATAATGTCAAGATGCTGTAATGTGAATACAAACTCTGAGTCATAAAATTTATATGTATGATGAATAATAATATTTACAACGGAAAGAATGCGTTTCTTGGAGACAGATTTCTATTCAAAAAGTTCTAAAGTTTGCCGAGTTACGTGAGGCATCTCAATCTCTCTAGATCCGAACAAGATATATTTTAATGGCCCAGCTGGAAGTAATAAATGACTGCCTGTCAACGTCTTAAAAAGAAAGCGAGTATTGATAAGAAAACTTTTTATTATTGAGATTGTAATACGCCTCTTTGCCAGAAAACGTATCTCAACAATATATTGGGAATTAGTAACGCTAATTTAAAAAGTGTCGCGATAAAAAACAATCATTGATATAACCGTTTCTATCACTGTGAAGCATTTTTTCGAAAACTATTCTGCTTACCAAGCCCCGGTAGTCGCATTACTCAATCGCCTACATTTTTATTAGCTGAAATGAGCTACAAATCCGTCTATCGCGATTTTACCACAGGTCTTAAAAACAAATTTCCATTTTACTTTAGTTTGTTCTTTTTCTTTTGCATTGAAATTGTAATTGATGCGTTTCGCAAGTTTATGGCACCAATCAACGCTTTATATTCAAACCATGACGGTTTATGTGATACTCACCAACATTTTCGGAATGATTTACAGTATAATGTTTGTAAAGAAGAAGGATCAAGACTTTTACTGAAAAATACCAAGTCAAGGCTTTTATAACAAGAGGTAAGTAAGTTGATTATTGTAGTGTTAATATGACAGTTACGATTGATTATCTCAGTTCGCGTAAAAAATTGGTCACGTGGTGATGCAACACAAATTTTATTTGCGTGATTTCCCTCTGCTATTACTTCTGTGAACAAACTGTGATTATACTGTTGAAGAATGTCGCTTATTGCAACGAGAGCGCGGCGTGCCAACGCCGGTAATAGGTATCTCTCTATCATTGGTTATTTCCCGAAGTTTGCTTTACATCCTAAATTGTGTATAACCGAAATCTTTATGCTCATCGTACTTAGAATGCGGGAACTCCTACAACAAGAATTGGAAGCTGATACGATGTTTGAGGAAATTGCTAATGATGAAGATTTTATAGTGCTTCAAGGCATGCGATCTGACCTAACGATGTGGGAACAGTTATTGTGAGTTTGTTCGTGCACTAATTGAGCACAATATGAATTACTTAGTTCAAATTTTTCTTAATAGAGGAAGAAGATGTTGCCGATTCGGATTTTGATCAGAGCAGCGGCACGGATAATGATAATGAGGATGCCGAGGAGCAGTTGCAGAAAGCAGAAAAGAAAGAGAGACAAGTAACGTAAAGAGACAACAAATGTAGTACTAAAATATCTGTAGCTGATTGACGAATTGATGTCATTGCCAGGAGAAGAAGAGAAAAGCGACATCGGCTTTTATGAACGCCGTCAATCGGAAAAAAAAATCTACGAAACAAACTCATGAAAATGTCACTGCAACTGCCCAAGACTCCAAAGCCACGTCTTCTTCAACGGAATCACAGAAACAACGAAAGACATCCATGACTTCTGGTATGGACAATCACAGGTTCATTTAAACGACAGTTCAATGATCCGGATACGTTCTAATGCCACTTTATTGCGTACAAAATGCAGCACCCCTACTCGGCGGTGTACGTTCATCTTCACGTACTCACACTGTACAAAATAAAAAGATTCTAGAACAAAAGCTAAAAGAATACGAAGAGAAACGGGTGAGTAGCCCTCGCTACCGACAATTCGTTTTACTCAATATGCGCTCACATGTTTATTTCCAAGGCCCAACTGCCAAAACGTGAGAAAATCATAACCAAACCTCCTACTCAAGAAGAACTTCTTGCGCTTGCTAAAGAGACCGAGGAAGAAAACTTAGCATCTCTGCGGGCGTTTGAATTGCGGGAGGCTGAGCGCATGAAATCTGCGCGACCGGTTAAAGAGAGGAAAATTAATGGACCTTTTATACGTGAAATATCATACATCGAAGGGGATGATCGACACAGAAAGAAGAAATTAGTTTACGAAGTATCGACTGACAGTGACGGAAAGAATGTGTCTAGGGAGTTGAAAGATGTTCAGTGGTGGGATGGTCAAGATGGCTTTGGACAGGCAGATATAGACACGAGACAAGCTAGGAATCTAGTTGTACTCACCAATTTTACAAGAGAACAAGAATTGACTATGTTTGAGGACTGGAGGAGAAAACCACAAAGTAAGTCGCGCTCTCTGAAATCAAATATTTTTTTCGGTTTTTGATCACTGATCACTATGAATATCAATTTTCCTACTCACAGAACCTAAAAAAGTCATTTGTCCATTAACGGGATATCCAGCAAAATATAAAGATCCCAAGACGGGAATACCGTATGCGACAGGAGAAGCCTATTCGAAAGTACGTCAATTGATTAATAACAAATATGTCTATTCACCGATTCTACAGGCTTATGTGCAGTCGGTGGATCAGAAACCTGCAGCAGGTGTTCCTGCAGAGTTTCGCACAGCTTAATAAAGATCATAATCAATGAATGATTTTAAGTAATCGTCAAACTCGTGTGAGTTAATGCCGTAAAATATTAAACATTAATAATATATTACGCTTACATGTTGAGCAATTGAAAAGGTAAAAGTCCAATACACATGGTAGTGAAAAAAGTCGATTAATGTATTATCCAGTAAACAATTGTACTATTATATGTGTTCATTATTCCTAAACAAAAAACTTGCCTCTGAATCTTATTACATAAATATTTGCTGGCCGCTTATCAATTCCAATTGTTTCTGACGTCTGAAGACATGTCTCCATCTCTTTTTCTCCCATATTTATCTATGCGGGGTTGATTCAAGATTATATGAAAATTTCTAGCTCTGTTACAACGTTGGAGAAGATAAAGTACAGCGAAAATGCCTTTGTGGCAAAAGTTGTATAAAAATGCTCACACCAATTTTCCCAATGATGAAAGTACTGACTCGATCATTTAATTATGTCGGCTCGTCTAATTTCCCTTGAAACATACACATGGATTATTAAAGCGAAAACATGTTACTATTACGCGATAGTTGCTTAACCAAATAATATGAGAATACATCAATATCAAGATATCAGTGACAAGGCAGAATTTCCCGATTTATATAAGACATTGGCGAGAAAGTAACAGATAGTAATAATACTGCTATATTATTACTATGACAAATCAGATGCTCGATACGTACAATCCATTTAACACGCTTGTTTTTGCTACTGATCAATTTGTTTTTAGTCATACGCCCACATGGACAAGACAAGATAAACAATAAATATCCGCGTACTTTCCGGCAGCTGACTCATGAGAATCACCAGGTTTAGCAACCCAGAAGTTGGCAGATTATCTCTCTTGCTGCATTTCCATTTTTCTCTAGAATACTTATTATAATCTTATCCACAGTGTCCTTTATTAAGAGCTTTTTATGCTGCTCTTGCTCATTTGTTGATGACCGCGCTTAGCCATTATCTTGACAATCCAATTGATAAATCATTTGCTTCCGATTGGGAATTTATTCACCAGCGAAGGCCGACCAGATAAACTTGGTTGATTGTCGCCGTCAACCAAGGTGATTTGTATTGCCATTAGCATAATGTACGTTTTCAACGGAGAGAAACTGAATAAAAGGCAATTCCGTGATAGATGACGTAGACGATTTGATGTCAGTCACAAATACAGTATGTGATCATTACAAAATTTGTAACTACCCGAGGTCAACACCATTTCCTTT